ACTAATAGTAATGGACTCGCACGGACTGCGCTCTTGGAGATTAAATTATCTTCAGAAAATTCAAAATTATAGGTTTTTCATACACACGATACAGATTTATTCTAAACTGCTTGCTGTTGCCTGCTAAGAATAATAATATGCTAGCTTGCTCCCCATAGAACATTTGTGGCACCAAAGAAATATTATGTTATACTCGTAGTTTAAGATCAAGTGTATTAATGTAATTAAAAATATATTTAACAATATACCATATTACAAATTGTAGATTCTTACATTGTCATAAAAAATTACATAAAGTCCATTGTAATTAATCTTAATGACTCTGATAGTAAAAAATAATTAGATGTGGAATGAAAATCTACTAATTTGGGTAATTACTGATAATTTCTCTACCGAGTGACACAAGACAGTGGGAACACTCTATAACTTTTATACGGCTAGAGATAGCGATTTGAAATTTGGGAGGGTTAATATAGGCTGAATATAAAATTTTTTGACAAAGCACTTCCGGTTTGATCGGAAACGACAGTAACTCGAATTTTAAATGGCACAACCTATATTTTCTTCATTTTTAGATTCAGGAGATCATTCTGCATAGGATATGACTGTTTTTCTCTCTTTTTTTGTTTTTTTATATTTATTTAATTTTTGAGAATTGTGTCTAGGAGGCTGTGACCATCATAAATACTATTTACCGGATCACCTGATCATGGGGAAAATTGTAAATCAAACCTTTCTTTACTTGCCTAATGGCAAATAGCAGCGTCACTTTACCACGTCAGTTTCGTCTCCCATGATTCCGAGCCACTTCGGACATTTCCGGACACGGATTTGGGAGCAATCGGATGTTTTTGGAGATATTTCCCACGCTTTGAATTTTGACGTTTGTCAATTCTGATGGACATTTCAGTGAATGTATTCGTGTTTTGCGAAAATGTACCCAATAACTAACGGTCGTAGAAAAAGTATAGTATGCAACACATTCGGTAAACTTTTTAACTCCCTCGTTTATTTATGACTCGCTCCGCTCCGTGTCAAATAAACTCGTGAGTCAAATGCCGTTTACCGCACTTGTTGCATAATATACTATTAATGTAATGAACTATTAATTTTTTAGGATGACGTAGTTTTTTCAAGTAGCGCCCTGGTGCCACCGTTAAAAAATAAGCTCACAGGAAGGAAAAAACCACATAAGTAAATACATTTTTATAAAATCAAAATATTACTTAGGTGGCTTTGCTTCTATTCATCATGAAGTCGGCATGATTAAAAATTCTGACAATTTGTACATGGAAAACAATAATCAATTTAAAAATGGAGAAAATGTTGATATATTTCTGATATACGGGGAATACAGAAAAACCTCTCGACAGGCCCGTGCACTGTATGCAACCCGCTATCCGGGACGTCGCCTTCCTGCACATTCTTTATAAGTGAAGAAATGGAAATCAATGTTGTGTCAACGTAAAGTCAGCTACGTCGCTAAGAGAAGTGACATTAGAATTAGGTATCTCAAGAGAATCTGTGAGGAGATTTAAAAAAAAAAACCGACTATCATTCTTTTAAATATAACCTTCATCGACATCCTTATGAAGCTGACTTTGTAAGAAGACTTCAATATTGTAATTGGCTCTTAGATAAACATGACAAGAATAATAATTTCGTTAACTTAATTTTCTTCACTGGTGAGTCACAATTCTCAAATAATGCTATGTTTAATAGACAAAACTAATCAAAGAATTATTCACAGTTTCAAGAACGGTTCCAGTTCAATTTTGTTCAATTATCCCAAAAAGTGACAGATTTTAAAAGAAAAAAAATATTTCAATTCTCTTGTTCTTCTGATTTTCCAGCAAAAAGTGCTTGCAGCTTATGACGTACGTATACATACAACACTTACTTTAGTTTTTGACTGTATCCCCGTATTCCAAAAGCATATCAACTTTTTACCATAATAAAACACTTTCAACAAAAAATTCTAATCGTTGAATCTCAAAAGAAACTCTCTCTTAAATTGTATTTTTTTAAAAAATACTAATAAATCTTTTTTCTTTCATTTTTAATCTTACCGACTTGACAATTAATAATTAATAGAAGAAAAGCCATCCAACTAATAATTTGTTTTTATAAAAATGTATTTACTTATATATTTTTTCTTTCGTATGAACTAATTTTTTAATGGATTTTCAAAATTTTGGTGTCAAAATGTTGCAAAAAAAGTACTGGTTTTAAAAAGTTTTTGTTCAAATTAGGGTGTTATTTGAAAAAACTAGGTTATCCTAAAAAATTAATAGTTCATTACATTAAATGCCACTTGCCATTAGACAAGTAAAGAAAAGTTTCATTTACATCTTTTATCATGATCAGGTGACCGGGTAAATGGTAGTTATAATGGTCACAGCCTAACACAATTTTCAAAAATTAAATAAAAATTTAAAAAACAAAAAAAAATACCATCCTATCCTACGTAGAATGATCTGAATCCAAAAATGAAAATAAATATAGGTCGTGGCATTTAAAATTCGAAAGTTACTGTCGTTTCCGCTCAAACCGGAAGTGGAACTATTGACTACATTTTGTCAAAAAAATGGGCGTCCAGCCTATATTAACCCTTCCAAATTTTAAATCAATATCTCAAGCCGTTTATAAGTTACAGAGTGTTCCCACTTTCTTGTGTCACCCGGTATATTTAGTATTATCGTATTTAATATTAGAACAAATACAACATTACATTACATTAACATTTAATCTCTATATTTTACCATTACCTTTACAATCGAAACCAATCGTCAAAATATTAAACTTTCAAAGCATTATGTAATTTTATTTGATTACTTATAGTCAATTATTAAATTTATTTAGGTTTTAGTGGCATCATAATCTAGTTTCCAAAAATAAGTCATTTTCCAAATCCATAAGCTGGCTTTTAAAAAGTAATAATGCTGATGGTTGATATCATCCACTTCTAGTAAAAAGCAAAGCCTGATAAAATAGAGGTAATTGCATTTTTGATAAAGATATAGTGCGTTTTCTATATAGTATGCTCGTCATAAAAATGGAAGTTACAACCCGTTAACTTTAATAACGTCTCCTTTCGGTGTTTTATATATAAATTTTCTGATTTTCCATTCCACGCGGCTTCAGCACTGCCAACGTTGAAAGTGATTTAAAGGCGTATGTTGGCTTTTCGAGATTGCGAAGGAGATATTTTTAGGTAAGTGCTTTGCGCGCGGCCGTTTTATTTTCACTGATGTCAGAGATAGCGATTAACACTAAAGGTTCTATTGAGCGTAAAAAGGCCTTTAGAAAAATATCGGTGAGGGAAATACTTGAAATTTTGCCAGCTTCCAAAGTGTAAAATTTAATAATCGTCATCAGTGGGTACCACAGGTTCAAACGTTGTTATTTCAAGAAAAGCTTAGAATTTTTGAACCAACATCTGTGGTTAAGTACTTATCCTACTTACTTAAACTCCGGATGATGTAAGTATGGAGAAGAAATAAACGAAATTCTGAGATGCTTGAAAATATGAAACTTATATATAATTTTGATATCCACAGTACATAGTTGTCTTCAGTACATATTCCATTGTTTGCTGTACAACGTATAACAATTTCGATGTGTTAAAGATTCCGTTGTTTGTTGCACCTTTATTACTGTCCTACTTTTTTGAAACTTCAAAATGGTACAATCAGATTTTGAATAGAATCCCTTTCAACCAAGCATCAAGGGAAAATTCTAAGTCGTCGATTTTAAATATTACATCTTTCTAAGTATGGAAGATATTCTGATTTGGTAAACTTCTTCATTGACACATTTTAACATGAATACATTTCAAATTTCAATTCAACGTTTCCTTTTTTTTTGCAGATCTAACATTTTTTATTGCATATTTTTTATTAGTTTGCATACATCCTGTGTTTTTTTATTTTACGTTCCCTAATTTTCTAAAATTAGAAATCTAAATTGTAATTTATAGGTACAAAAATAGAATAGGTAAAACTAGGTAAAAAATATTTTGTGACGACAAATTAACTCGATTGATAATAAATAATAATTTTATGACGAGAATATTGGAAAGCTCCGCTTCGACTTTACACCAAGGAATCAGATTCAGAAGAAGTTGAGTTAGTACCTTTGATTTACTTTTGATTTACTTTAGGTTACTTCTATATCACCCCGTGCTTTATTCGCTGGCCCACCACAGTGATCTAGAACATTCACATTTTATTCCAAGAAATCTTTTTCGCTATTCTGCGAAAGATGCCATTAGCGATGTGGTCGCCTAGTGATCCCTCGGAAGTAAAAGGGGAATTGCAGAAACAAAATTGCGTCCTTTTGTCATCACGTCGACGTGTATTAAACTATTTTATTATTACAGTACCAATCATCAATATTAAAGTCCTCGAATTGTGAATCCTGGGATAAATGTTGAAACTGTCTTAAATCATTAAATAAAGACAATCTTCCTGGCAGCCTTCAGGGCGACAATTAAAAATATCAATAGAGAACGCCACTACTTCCAACATTTTTTCTTCAACATAATCCCCAATGAGTGAGAAAGGAACAGTCAGATAACACTCGTCAATGGATAACACTATAGAATGATATTAATACTTATGAGAAAACCATGAAATCGCAGTTTCAAAAAGGTTTCTGAATTATATAAAACTTGAGCGACCATTGAACAATGTTTGTTAAAGTTCAGTATTTTTACTGACGTTAACAGTTTCCTTAATATCGAATTTTGATAAGAAATTTAAATCATAAATGGTCCATTGTGACCAATAACCCTTGTCTTGCCACTTGCCTACTTCAACGAAAGAGTCATGCCTTTTAGAGCCTAAATGATTTTTTGACTTTGAAAATAGCTTATTGTAATAATTTTTGTTTATTATTTGAATATGCAAGTGGTACTTTAACAAATTACAATGGTTTCCGATACATCTCAGTCACGAGTAATAGCGGAATTTAGAGCATTTAAAAACTTATTTCGCAAAATAACAGCAAAAAAATCCTTTATTACCGATCGAATTTGATACAGCGCATAGTACGAGGTGCCTGTTTCCAGAATTCGAAAACTTATCCAAACACAAACCGAACCTATGATTTATCATGCGTCGAACGGTATATTTATTGACTGTGTATGTAATTTATCAAATCGATAATCCTGCACGAATATCCATATTCGTTGTCGTACCAGGCAATTAATTTGACAAATTTATCGTTGAGGGAGATGCCAGCTAGAGCGTCAAACACGCAGCTGCGTGAATCGCCGTTAATATCGGTAGACACAATCTCCTCCTCTGTATACCCAACCACTCCCTTCATATATGTTTCGGACGCTTCCTTTATCTTGGCTTTGATTTGTTCCATGCTGGCAGATTTGCCGAGTCTCGCGGTCAAGTCCACAACCGAAACATTCGGTACCGGCACCCGGAACGCCATTCCGGTTAGTTTCCCTTCCAACTCTGGGATAGCTTTGGTGACGGCCTTGGCAGCGCCGGTGGTCGCAGGAATGATATTCTGCCCTGCTCCGCGACCATCCCTCCACAACTTCCCCGAGGGACCGTCCACCGTTTTTTGAGTGGCGGTAGTGGCGTGAACGGTGGTCATCAAACCTTCCACTATTTCGAAATTGTCGTGGATAATTTTGGCCAGCGGTGCCAAACAATTGGTGGTGCAGGACGCATTGGAAACTACGTTTTCCGACGGGTTATATTTGTGCTGGTTCACTCCCACCACGTAAATCGGTGCGTCTGGTGACGGTGCGGAGATAATCACCTTCTTGGCACCGCCGTCTAGGTGTTGAGACGCTTTCTCTATCGACGTGAATACTCCAGTTGACTCGACCACGTAATCGGCCCCAACTTTACCCCAAGGGATTAGTTTCGGGTCCCGCTCTGTGAACACCCATATCTGCGTACCGTTGACAAAGAGGTTTTTGCCGTCGGTGCTGACGCAACCCTGGAATTTGCCGTGAGTTGAATCGTGTTTGAAAAGGTAAACCATGTATTCGGGATTCAGGAAGGGATCATTGATGGCCACAACCGTCGCTCCTCTTTCGAGGGAAACTCGTAACACTATGCGTCCGATTCGTCCGAATCCGTTAATGCCGACTTTTGCCATTTTCGATTATTCTTCTCGCCGGTTTGACAATGACTTACGAGAGCTCGGCTACTAAGACGCGTGCAGACAATCGTTTGATTATACATTGTTGCTAGGCGATGATACAATGTAGCTGAAGTTAGATTTGGCTTTGGATTCGGATTTGCGAATATTACAGTGGACCAGTTCGTTATTTACCTTAATTTAAAAAACGTATTCCTGTGGAAATTCCGGAAAACTAAGCAAGGAAATAATGTAAGGGAACTCCCAAAAACCATGTTTAATCTTGCTATACAGAAAATAACCTCTTTTCTGCTCGCATCACCCCAAATAAATCGAAATGAATATATTTCGCAATTACAAAAAAATCTGACGTCCCAGATATTGAATTATACCATCAAAGAGTCACGTTGTCCCAGATTAGACCATTGAAGAGCCACTTAGGAGAGCTTCAAAATGATGTACTACTCAACCACCTTGAAACTCTCTGGAAGGTATAAAACTACCCAAAATAATGAAATAACCAAATGTACGTTTTATTTATTTCGGAATCTCAAAAAAAGCTGACGTTGTGCCACATATTGAATTAGACCATTGAAGAGACACTTAGGAGAGCTTGAAATGGTCGGGAAGGTATAAAACTACCCCCGATAATGAAATAACCTAATGTTCATTTTATTTATTTCGGAATCTCAAAAAAAGCTGATGTTGTCCTAGATATTGAATTAGACCATTGAAGAGCCACTTAAGAAAGCTTCACAACGATGTATTGCTCAACCACCTTGAAGCGGCCGGGAAGATATAAAACTACCACCAATAGTGAAGTAACCAAATGTTCGTTTTATTTATTTCGGAATCTCAAAAAAAGCTGACGTTGTCCCAGATATTAAATTAGACCATTGAAGAGCCAATTAGGAGAGCTTCAAAACGATGTATTACTCAACCACCTTGAAGTGCTCGGAAAGAATATGAGGCGCCCTACCATTCGTTTTCAAATGGTTGTCATATTTAAAATGTTAAGTTGCACACCCTGTATATTTTATCATGTTAATTGTTGATTCTGTATATCCTATTTCTATTTGTTTCTGAATTATTTGAAAAAAATTGTACAACCAGCATGATAACTATTGCTCCTAATCCGGAAACGATTCAAATTGTTTTTTCCTGTTTCTCTGAATGCCACCAAGTACAGAATTTAGTCCCCTGTTGAATATTAGCGTTCCCTATACTGCAAATATTTAATAATGAAACATAATATACAATTGTTATTAATCCCAAAAGCTCAAATTACAAAGTACAAATAAAATTTAGAAAATCTCCTGAATATCGCTAGCATCCATGATTGATGTATGTGTCTCTGTGGGTCAATTTCGAGTTAAAAACCAAATCTCTACTTTGATAATGGTGAATTTTAGGGGGTAGTTTTATATCTGTCCGACCGTTTCCAGGTGATTGATTCATATTGAAGCTCTGTGTGAAGCAAATGAGTTTTCAATGGTCTAATTCAATTTTTTTTTGAGATTCCGTAATAAATAAAACCAACTTTGGGGTATTTCATATTTGGGGGTAGTTTTATATATTCCCGACCGCTTCAAGGTGGTTGAGTAGTACATCATTTTGAAGCCATCAATGGTCTAATTCAATATCTGGGACGTCAGGTTTTTTTGAGATTCGGAAAAAAATAAAAGGAATATTTGGTTATTTCATTATTGGGGGTAGTTTTATACCTTCCCGAGCTCTTCAAGGTAGTTAGATAGTACATTATTTTGAAGCTCTCGTAGTCAATGGTCTAATTCAATATCTGGGACGTCATGTTTTTTTGAGATTCCGAAATAAATAAAACGAATATTTGGTAATTTCGTTATTGGGGGTAGTTTTATACCTTCCCGACCTCTCCAAGGTGGTTGAGTAGTACATCAATGTAAAGCTCTTCTAAGTGGCTCTTTAACTCTCTAATTCAATATCTGGGACAACGCCAGGTTTTTTTTGAGATTCCGACATAACTAAAAAGAACATTTGGTTATTTCATGATTGGGGGTAGTTTTATACCTTCCCGACCGCTTCAAGGTGGTTGAGTAGTACATCACTGTGAAGCTCTTCTAAATGGCTCTTTAATTGTCTAATTCAATAGCTGGGACAAAGACAGATTTTTTTGAGATTCCGAAATAAATAAAACGAATATTTGGTAATTTCATTATTGGGGGTAGTTTTATACCTTCCCGACCTCTTCAAGATGGTTAAGTAGTACATCATTTTGAAGCTCTCCTAAGTGGCTCTTCAATGGGCTAATTCAATATCTGGGACAACGTCAGATTTTTTTGAGATCGAGAAATAAATATAACGAACTTATTGGTATTTCATAATTGGGGGTGGTTTTATATATTGCCGAGAGTTTCAAGGTGGTTGAGTAACGCATTATTTTGAAGCTCCATAAAGCATATCTTCAATGGTCTGGTTGAACATCTGGGACATTTTCAGATTTATTCAAAATTGCGAAATATTTGTCAAATTATTATTTGCTGTGATACGAGCGGAAAAGGTGTTACGTTCTGTAGAGCGACATTGCATACGGCTTTTGGGAGTTTCCTTACAACATTTCCGTGCTTAATTTCCCGGCATTTCCACAGGAATATATTTTTTTAATTACTGGAAATAACGAACTGGTCTACTGCAATATTCGTAAATCCGAATCCAAATCCAAATCTAACTTCAGCCACATGATGGTACATGTGATTTTCATCAATCAAACTAATTGTTTTCTTTTAAGCGGCCTATACACAAGCAGGCAAGTATTAAGACCTGTACAGGTCGAGATACGTGAGTAAGTGCGAATGTGTATGGGTCAAAACTCAAGGCGCGTTCAGATTGTGTTTGATTTTTAGAGCAAGTGTGAAGGCAAACTTCATTTTTCGCACAGCAGCAGCAGCAACTGGTGAACGTCGAGGTTTACCTGAATAGTGTGTGGCCGCGATTCGTATCGCACTTGCTCGCGGACTTGCCTGCATGTGTATAGCCCCCCTTACTCTTGTTATAACTATAATTTAAAAAGGGTTTATAAGAACTATAGAATGCAACAGTGACCATTGGGGGACTGTATTGAAAATATACTTGCAGATAAGAGAACGGCCAAGAGGTTTTACAGCGGGACGAACTTGAGTCTACAACATATTTACCATTAAACAGGCCATACAAAGCAGGCTAGTGAGGAATCAAGAACTTTTATTGGATTGAAAAAAACCTAAAACACGGGTCCCCCTCAGAAACTCAAAAAGTTCAGACAGTATTCAAATATATGCAAAAGTATATTGCCGCCATAACCCGCCCTATAGAGAGTACAATTTAGTAGAATAGATTAAGTCGAAGTCAAGGCTTAGGTGTAGAAATATCGAACGAAGGCTGAAGTTTAAAACAAATATCCCATCGCATTAATCAATCACAACAAGTGCAGTAATAGTATATTATGCAACAAATGTGGTAAACGAAATTTAAAAATTTATCAAACGTGTTGCATACTATACTTTTTCTACAACCGTTAGTTTTTGGGTCCATTTTTGCAAAAAAAAGAAACACGAATACATTCACTGATGCGACCGTCAGAATTGACAACGGTCAAAATTCAACCATTGCGGTTATATCCGGGAAATGTATATAATTAGGTATTTTACAGAAGGGAGTAGAATAATGACATTTGAGTCACGAGTCTATTTTTCACCAGCGGAGCGCAGCCGAGCCTTTGTTTAATACACCAGTGATTTAAAAAGTTTACTAAACCTGTTGCATGCTAGTCTTTTCCTACGACGCTTCCCGCATGCTAGATCGGTGTATAATTAGGTATTTTACAGAAGAAAATAGGAAAACACCTAATTGTGATCAAATAATGTACATAAATAGCCAGAGCTTAAAATATCTAACAAGCAATGCAATAAAGATGGATTTTCATAGAAGAAAAAAGAAGAAGGATGAAGAAACAACTATATCTAAACTATATTGCTAATCCTGATGGTCAAGTCACACGGCAGTCCGTGAATGTCTCGTGTAGTTTTGCAAAAATGTACCCATAAACTACAGTATATTATCCAACACATTTATTAATCAGATTCGTGACTAAAAGGACGTTTATCCAAACTGACTTGACTGACTTAACAATTTATATCAGAGTAAACATGATCAATTCGAACCTTTTACTAAACAAAGGAGACACCTTGATTTTTATAATTCTAAATGAAAACTAAGTGAAATTATTTTTGTTCAAAAGACAACCGATATAGTGAAAAAATAAACGGACTGTTTTTTGGGTTGGATTTTTGAGAGCAAGTAAAGGATACAAGGTCTTTGTTCAAGTTGAAAACTCAATTAATGAACGTTGCCAACGTCGATGACAAAATGCGCCGGGATTAAAAAGTTAATTGTATTTACTTTGAAAACAAGGATAAATCTTCGTAAATAAGGAAATTACTTTAATCTGCGTTATCCCTTGTTCATGTGATTAACATAAAGCGTCTGGAAAAAGAATCGTTAAAATCAAAATAAACAATTCAGACCTAAATCGAAAACGCGAAAATATTGTAATCACGATCGAGATAATTTCTAGTTCCCTTTTTGAACGTTAAACTGAATACATAACACTATATAAACTTTCTTGGCTTTAAAATATTAATTTTCGGAAATAATTACGCCCATATTCAGTAGGTCATATGTCTCAAAAAATCATATTTTAAATGGAAGTAAATTTATGAAATCCGATATTTTACAAAATACATTACAGGAAAGTATATTGTTACCAATTCTACCATTTTCTGTTTAAACCAAAAATATATTTAATGAAATAAATATGTGGTATAAGCAAAACCAAGTAATAGTTAATAACAGTAGAAAGAAAATTATTTCGAGCATAAGTTAACTTGGCCTGATTTCTGACTATATAAAAAATATAAGTATAAGTATCTAGACTGGGACCCTCATATACAAACTGTATGAACAAAATTAATTGCTAGGTTATGAGAACAAGATTTTCTGTTAGGGTGGTGCTTCTGACATAAATATTGATTTTATTATACAAAGAATGTATGTGATGATGATCTATATTTACGAAAGACTAACATTTATATTCAAAATTAGGAATCAGTTTTCCAGAAATACAATACAAAATTATAACACTCGAATCCAGAATATCATGCTACCTAATCACAAACTTTCGATTACACAATCAGAAAATTTAAGATAACATAATCTCTTAAAAAATGTTTGGGTAATTATATGAATTTGTTTGAAGTCTTGAAGTTTAATTATTATTATTATCAATATCAATAAAATAAAAAATTAAACCACAATGATGATGCATTTTAATTTGTTGTCTCAATTTTCATCGGGATTATAATAATAAATTAGTTCGATTCGATAAATTTTTTCGACAATAGTTTCTAAACTGTATTTTTAATGTGTATGTTTTAAATAATTCATGAAAATCTAAGTTGTTCCAATCGGCACCTAGTCCCTCATATGTAACTGCTCCACCAAAGAATTGACTGAAAAATTTCGTCTACCTAACACTAATAATATCGTTAATTATAATTACATTATTAAAAAAAAAGAGAACAAGTGTACTTTACCCTAAAACTTGGTAACTATGTTTAGTTTGCTCCTAAGAAAAACATTGATTAACTTCTTCAGTTAAACAAATTCGGACTAGAAAAATATATTTCTTGGTTATGTGGTATTAAATTAGAATACAGAAGATGGAACTAAGTAAATTAGATCCAATCTTGTTCTTTCTTCCATTCAACTTCTCTCTATATCCTTTGAAACTTATATTTATTATATTATTCATATCAATTTTTGAGACCTTGACTTCAGACTTTGATTGAATTATATTGCACAATAAAATTGTTAATAAATAAGTTTTGTGATGAAAAATGACCACTTACCATCTAAGATGGATATATCGCCTCCCATAATTCTTTGATGGCGGACTAAATGGAAATGAACAACACTTTAATCGAAACATACTTAACGACAGCGCCTTTATATTTGTATATTTGCTTTGTTTTAAGAATCACTACTTGAGGTTAAGGCATAGTATTTACAGTATTATAAGATAAAGTTCTCATTCCCATTCACATCAATGAAAAGATGATTCTCCAACATCAGTTTATCCAAAAGGTATTATTTTACTTAATTATTTAAAATGATTACCCAAATCTTAGTGGACAACAAACGGTTGACCGATGTTCTCGAATGACTGAAGTCTATCCTTTTTAAATTAATGCCCAGATAACATTTGAACGGAGCTTGCCTAGAATGAAAGTTATTCAGCTGAAAAATAGAGAAGTTTTATGGACCACTATGAAATATATGGATTGCGACTGGGAAAGCATAATCCTAAAGCACTTTTATTAGAAAGTGATGAAATTGTTTTCTGGAGACGGAAATATTTGAAACAACTTGAAATAGTTTCTGTATAATGATTTTTTGAATAATGTTTAATAAAAAAAATAAGGTAATAAAAATATGTATGAGCATTCTTGGGATAATACCTATCTAAAAATAAAAGCTTCCGTGATTAAAAAAAAATTTAAACATTTTTCAATTCATTTTAAAAACTTTTTTTTTAACACTTACCCAAGTTGTTCATATTTCTCAACAAATTGTGAAAAAAAAAATTACAAAATTATAATATTATATTTATTCAGCAAAAAAACTTTTAAAACCACAAGCAGGAAGTTTTTATTTTAAAATGCAAATTGCATTTTTTTTTGTTTATGCGACACCATGACAAAATAACATAATAACAATAAGCTTCAAAAGTTTAGTTTAGTCTCACGACTTAAACAGTTACAAGAAATACAAAAAAAAACACAATCAATCTAAGCACGAAATAGATAAAAAGAAAAAGCAAAGAAAAAAGAATCAAGCACTTGAACGTGTCTAGTATATAAATTTTATATAGCCATATTCGATATTATATATTACAGATTTTGCAGATTACAGAGTACATATTGCATTGCAAACAATCCTTCTAAGGACCAAGGCTGATCGATAACGTATCATCATCTGAAATAAATTTTTATTTCAAAAATAGTAAAAAAACAAAAGGGAAATACCTTAAACGCATATTTCTTAAATCGATATAACATTATTACATTAAATAAGAAGTTCTAATAATACATAATAGTAAGAATCATTAAATGCGCCATTTAAATCTTATATAATCAATTCTATGAACTAAATTTCTAAAATTAATTATTTTTATTATTATCTATTATTATTAATTTTAAACAGTTATAACTATTAATTCCTCTAATTACAAGAACCGATGCAAGAAACAGCGTTACGTATTGAACAGCCCCGTTACGACCCATTGAACACGGGTTCAGCCATAGCAGTTCATTCATAACTTTCCCGCGAATCAGAAGCCGACTCTACTCCGAAACACCTCAACACCGTGACGTCATTTCAAGACCTTAAGTTTTTTTATATCGTTCACTCGATCATTTCCGTGTCTTGATCGTGCAAAACTATTTTCAAAATTCTATCGAAAATACAAAAAAAATATGGACGCTTTTTTTTTCAGTAATTTATTCATATTAAGTTAACGGGTGATCGGTAAGAATAAATACACTTACTGTTTTTGTTGCAGTTATCCTGTAAGGGCGGAGAACTCCGCGACATGCACAACGTAAACATGTCGAGCGCCAAATATTCACTACCCTTGCGCTTTCGGGGGCTGATTGCGACCGAAACGAAACGGACTTGCAGCCACCGAGATGACGCCCTCACTCTGACTCATGCGTCCGAGACGACTAGAGCGTGGCTAACGGCTGTCTCAACCTGGAGACGCTTCGAGTGGTCTATTCCGCGTTTAGTTAATAAAACTAACAATTAACAACAATACATTATCCATGCACACAGGGAAACATTCTGAACATTCAACTTTTATTTTCATACAATTTCCTGACATCCAGTAACGGATATCTTTTGGTTAATCTTGAAATATTCATTGCCGGATATAATATTAAATGGTAAACATCGGCGTGATGTTTTAGAGGTAATTTTTTTGTATAGCACAAGATAAACGGTTATGAGTTGCCTGGCCTGTCATAAACGGAAAGCCCTTTACCGTCAATAAACCGAACAATAAACCGAAAAAAAGCCGATTTACAAGCGTTTGTGAAGAAAGTTTCGACGATGTTATGGAGGAGGCAAAAATTTATATAATACTTATATTTTTATCTTTATTATCGGACAATTGCACATACTCTTTCTAAGCATTTAAATTTTGAATACGGTTTGAAAAGACATAAGTCAATGTTTACTATAACATTTCTGAAACTTTAACATAGCAAATAAAAAAATTCGCTAATAATTTATATTTTATAATACAAAATTTGTCCGCAGGTCTTTAAAAACGTCAGAGGGCATGGAAGTTGCACTAGAAGGACAGTGGAATTAACTGGCATTCCAAAGTCAACTTTGCGTCGATTCCTTGATAATGATTCACTAGAAAGAAAGGAATACGATGTGACAAAGGCATAATGAAAGTGTTTAAGAATGATAATGCAGAATGAATTCGCAGGAAAGTGTATGTGATTTCTGCACTCGAACTTATATTTAAAAATATTGACAAGCGTAGTTGCATTAAAAGCATCCGTAGTTGATAGAATTTCGGTCGTCTACAGAAAAAAAAATATTCCTTTTACACTGAGCCTCGAGAAAAGGTTGGATGGCAAATCCTTTGCTACTTTCAGTCAGAAACATTAAGGACTGCTTATTAGACTATCAACTTATCTTATTCCAAATACTCCACCAGGCAGCGTAATTGTATATGATGCGATACTTAAAGAAAACTAGTTGAAGACTAAAGAACCAAATCATATGATGAAACTTATTTCGTAGACGAAGTCATAAAAAAATCCGGTAATATACCCCTTAGATTGCCACTTCATTACTGCGATTTGAATGACTTACTAAAAGCTAATTATGTAATGCTAGTTGAAGACTATTAGTCACGCTACGTTATAGTGGGTCGATCGCTCTATAATTCAATTATAATTATTTTTTGAAAAAAGATATCACGTGACGTCACCGCTTAACAATAAAATGCACGGACCAAACAAACAGCATCCTTACTAACCAAAAAGTAAATTTCATATTTGCTTTGGTTAAACATTAACATCCTAACCAAACAGTTCTCGTCGTGTCATTTTATTCGCGCCAATTTATTGAAGACGGCTTGTAGCACATACACATTCATTATTGCTAATGTGGTTCAAATATTTTAATATTTATCTCATGAATATTTCAAAATTTCTTAAAAAATCCCTTTTGGATTTCAATAGGTATTTGTATGTGTGTTCGCAGAGTTATCAATACTTCAATTCCAAAAGTTTTGCATGTCTTGATTCAACAGGCATCCACTGGACAGCACATTTGTCCAGGCGGTTCGTGGAGTTCCAAGGGCTTAAAATATGTTATTTGTCATAAATATTTTAATATTTATCTCATGAATATTTCAAAATTTCTTAAAAAATCCCTTTTGGATTTCAATAGGTATTTGTATGTGTGTTCGCAGAGTTATCAATACTTCAATTCCAAAAGTTTTGCATGTCTTGATTCAACAGGCATCCACTGGACAGCACATTTGTCCAGGCGGTTCGTGGAGTTCCAAGGGCTTAAAATATGTTATTTGTCAGTAAGTTAGAACCATAATAAACTAGTGACTTAAAAAGTTGACAACGTGTTAGTTTCTACGATCAATAGTTAGTTTTTCGTTAGTTTCGCTAAACAACGCGGATACTTTCACTGACACGGCTGTCAGAATCGGGTTCAAATGAACTCTTTATAAGAAGAACGATTCTATATAACGTAATGAGAGAATCGGAATTAAAAAATTGGAAAACCAATTCAGTTTTTTAAAATAACACCTTAAAAATCGCAATATTTGAGTAAACTTAATGAAAAAATTTTACATTTTACATCACGATTTAAAGAAAAATGGTTAGGAGCTAATAGAACCGCAACCAACAAAAAACAAAGATTGGCTAGAAACTACGCTTAGTTTTAGAATCTATGGCGTTGCCCCTGAGAGCACCAGACAGAGAAATCGTCCGTGATTATCATTCGAGGAGAGTTCAGCGAAAATCGAAGAACTAAGAAAGTATGCCTCACTACAGGAGCTGACATATGCTACTAAAATGAACCTATGAAATGAAATTGATCTAAGATATCGTACATTTACCCGAACTTGCATACTTGAACAAGCATAAAAGGCGCTGGAAAAACCTTGTACAAAAAAGATGTCTGGGGAAGAAGCTCCTTTAACTATGATTGAAGCCAAACTGACTACTTGTGTTCAATACAGTGTCTTAAGATATAAAAATCCGTATACGTATACGATCCTTTAAAGTAGTACAATGTACCAAAAAATCTTGTTACCCTAATAAACAAGCTAAATCAACGACCGATTCTTTTACATAAGTTACGCTGCATGTTCTGCGTGATCATACAATCGTTACTTTAGTACATAAAATCTTTTCGAGAACCCTGCAACCTAGGAATTGTAAATATAAATTGTAATTGTGATTGTGATATTTTGCAATAATTTTTTAAAATTCTGCGAATAAATTAAATAAACTGTGTGTGTTTTGCTTCGATTACTTTCAACTTTCGAATAATTTCAATTTCAAGTCTTGCCGTGTATTACCAGTAAACAGAAAAAAACATTCGAAGAGACAAAATGACTATTTCGTTAGTAACTAATGGTCAGCACACATTTCTAAATCGGTCAGCAATTAATGTCATACTGGCCCGCTTTAAATGATTTTGCTTAGAAACTTAAATACAAAACCCACATCAAGCGAACCACGTTTAATCCGATTTTAGTAAGCCATCTGGTTGGTGAGCTAAATAAAACTAATCAAAACTAATGATAGACATGTTTTCTACACTGACCAATTGTGAAATCTTGCTAACAAAGTAATTATTTTGCAGCTCGACTGTCTATTAAGTAGACACATGATAATACAAGCAGACAGTTTTTTATTTTTGTTGCGAATCATTCAAATCATTTAATTACTTCTCCAAAACTATGTTCACAAAGTGTTAAGTATTACAGAAATATTTATCATGCAAGAAATACCAACAAGAACCAGAAAAATTGGGAATATATGGTGTATCTCAGTTTGGATCTTGACGCATGAATCACTAGCTATCCTTTACTTTAAATACTAAACTGTCAAAAATAACACTAAAAACTTTCTAACGATATTTTAATATACGTTCCACTTTAATGGCAGCCGATTTACTCCGACTATATCACCTAAATTTTCCAGCTCTCTTCGAATATTGATTGCGGCCCGATGTGATCTCTAATACCACGTTGCGATGCATACGATCCACTGATACACTTTTATTACCGTAGCCGAGATATCCCCCAGATCAATGAAACCCTCGAGTACTCTCCATATTGGAGCACGAAAGATTACTGGATGAAACGGGGAAAAGTCATCGGCTTCTATTAAAAAGGGTTCCACTTTTTCATACGAAGTCGTTTATTTAATTACGTCGAGTGCTCGTAAGCCAAATTATAGTATTTTTTGTCTTTTCGTGGAAACAATTAATGTTAAGGTTTATATTTTATTAAGTAGGACAACTTTCTGGGTGATTGATATATAGAAAACGATTTATGTATTCTTTTCAGTCTTTATCCGTAGCAGTGGTAATAGTTGAAAAAAGACAGCACATTGGTTAATTATTAACTAAAATGAATTTCAAGTAATGAAAATGAATCAAATTATTTATTTTACATTTTATAAAAATTCTACAAAGGTTGTAAGCTTTAAGTTGTACGCAGAAAGCATAGTATAAGGAGGTTATATTTTTAAATTGTATATTATTTCAGTCCTCTTATAATTATTTTTTACATTAAGGCCAGAATTATCCAAAAATAAAATTGTCGCATACTTGGCCATGCAACACCATGGCTTCACGGTAACGCTACGTCTTTTGACAATTGCGACATAACTTGAATATTGTTCAAAATTCGATAAAAGAGTAATAAATAATAAGAAATAAATAATATTTACAAACTACCTTGTACAATATATATATATATATATATATATATATATATATATATATATATATATATATATATATATATATATATATATATATATATATATATATATATATATATATATATATATATATATATATATATATATATATATATATATATACCGAAAAATGACAATAAAACCTTAATTAATGTTGTGAGAATTTAAGTTTAATTATTTATTTATTTAAGTATTTAAATCTAATTGATCGTTAAGCAATACATTTGAATGTCTCATTTTGTTAATCTCCATGGCTTCCAATAAATTTAATTTTCCACTTTTTGTGGCTCTATGTAAAATATCAAAATTGTCGTCAAAAGTGTGTTTTTCTGTGTTTAAGTGTATTGTTTTTAAACGCTCGTTTATGTTCGTTAATGCGTTTCTTGAAGGATCTACCTGTTTGTCCAATATAAATTTTAGGACAAGATCCGCATTTCGACCTGTAGACACCTGATTTTTGAGATTTTGGACATTTCGTTTTATTGTTTTTTAAAAATTTTCCTATTGTGTTGTTAGTTCTGAAACCTATTTTTAAACCATATTTTGACAAATGTTTTGAAACTTTTTCACTGGGTTCTCCTATGTAAGTAATTGTTTTAAATTGTTCGTGTTCTGTATTAGGTTTCGGATAAATAGAGTTTACTGTTGTCTGGATTTGTTTTTTTATTTATAATTTTATCGATAATGGACGTATTGTAGCCGTTGTTCAGTGCAATTTGTTTCATGATATCAAGTAATTTTCTGTTGAGAATGGCGTATTAAGAAGTCTGTGTATTAAACAGTGAAATGCAGCCATTTTCTATGTATAAGGGTGATTTAAGCTGTTATGTATGACTGTGTCGGTGTGTGAAGGTTTATAGTAAATGGAAAAATTTAATTTGTTTTGCGTTTCGTTTTCGTAATAGTTATGTCTAAAAAATTAATAGAGTTATCCTGTTCAATCTCCATGGTGAATTTTTCGTAATATTTATGTCTAAAAAATTAATAGAGTTATCCTGTTCAATCTCCATGGTGAATTTTATACGATTATGTAATGAGTTAATGTAATTTAAAAAAGAATTCAATTGTCTGT